GAGGCAGGAGACTCACTTGAGCCCAGGAGTTGGAGGTTGCAGTGAGCTGTGATGTCACAGCACTCTACCCAGGGTGACAGCTTGAGGCTCTGTCTCAAAAAAAAAAAGAAACTACAGTATGAACAAGTTTTGCAAAGATGAGATACAATGAGCAATCTAATGAAAGCACATATGAAAGTATTAGTGATGGGTACATGGCAATCTAAGCAACTGAGAGAAGGACAATTACTACATCCATAAAAAGGCAAAAATATGTGTAAGAACTCTATTTGTGGCTCAGTGGTGAATAACATTTAAATGATTATAACACAAATAGTGAATTCTTAACTAACCAAAACTTATGAAACAATGAAAGAAGGATAAAAGAGAAAGTATAAACATAAAACTACAGTATGAACATGTAATTTAGGAATATGGACATAAATAGAAGAAACACCAAAAAGTTGAATATAACTGTCTCTAGAGTTTGAGATTCAAGGATAAGTCAAAACCAGGTAGAGGACTTCTATGTACATACACATACAAAATCAGGTTTTTGTAATAATTTATATTTACTATGTTAGTTAAACAGTAAAATAAATATTTCATACCACCTGTAATCCTGAACCACTTATCGACAGAATGGGATCTAATACCCAGAACTAAAACTTAGAGAAGTTCTACATAGTCCAGTAAAACATAACATAGTGAGTCCTAATCTGCTTACTTCCTGGGGTATAAATCATACAAACCAAATTAGGTACTAAATTATGAGATTAACTATTACCTTCATAATCCTAAACTAGCAAGAAAGTGGCACATGCTCAGACTAGAAGACAGGACAATTATTAGAAACAAGCCACATACCATTTAGCTATAGACAATGCAGTCTCCCAAAGCACAAGACTGTGGCCTAGGACACACTATAATTTAGAGCCCATCAATAGCATTATCTCTCTAACATTTAATGGTCAGATACTCAAAAAAAATAGTAATACTGAACAACCTGAACATTTAAAATAAAACAAAAGACTTTTTATATCTTTACAAATTTTATATTACAGCTTGAATAAATGTTCATTAGAATTCTAGGACAAAGAGGTCATTGGTGGACCACTGCCCTTAATGATTTTGGTACAGTGAAAAGGCCAAGGTGAGGAGGAAGAGAAAATGTAAACCATACTTCCAAGACATGGTAGCTAGAACAGTATCGAGCATCAATTTAGAATTTTGCAAAGACAAGGTACAATGAGCAATCTAATACTACACTTTATAAGCCCCATGAGGATAGCAATTACATCTATCCTATAACCTTTGTTTTTTCAGGGCCTAACATGGAAGATGTGCTTTGTTTAGCACAAATTTACTAAACAAAAGAAAGAAAAGGGACCCCTCTTTTGAGTACAGCAGAATAAAGAAAAGGACTACAGCTGAGAGATAAGTCAACAGAGTTTGGGATCTCAAATTTTTACTTTTTCAGTAAAATACATAAAAACATCTGCAGAGAGGCAACATGCGGTGGCTCATGCCTGTAATCCTAACACTCTGGGAGGCTGAAGGAGGTGGACTGCTTGACCTCAGGAGTCTGAGATCAACCTGAAGAAGAGCAAGACCCAGTCTCTACTAAAATTAGAAAAAAATGAGCCAAGTGTGTGGCAGGCACCTGTAGTCCCAGCTACTTGGGAGACTGAGGCAAAAAGATCACTTGAGCTCAAGACTTTGATGTTGCTGTGAGCTATGCACAGCACCCTACCCAGGGCAATAGTGGCCTATTCTGTCTCAAAAAAAAAAAAAAAAAA